TCTCTCTCTCTCTCTCTCTCTCTCTCTCTCTCTCTCTCTCTCTCTCTGTGTGTGTATGTATCCAAATGAAAATGCATATTTCGTTAAGCAACTATAAGAATTATAATAGCACAATTCATAGTAGCCTCAATCTAGACCTTGTCCAACTCTGTACTAACAGAATCAATGAATAAAGTACATTATTATCTCATAAGGAGATCTTATAAAGCAATAATAGTGAACAAAGCTATGAGTCCTTACGTATATTTAGACACAAGAGCCCAATAGAGTTTATTCTTTGGAGGTAGCTCGTTTGAAGGGTGTGCTGGAGTGCCATTGCTATCCTGTTTCTTTTTCTTTTTTTAAAATTTTCCTATCAGTTCTTTGAGAATTTCGTATCCTGTGTTTTGATCATATTATTCCTCTCCCGCAACTCCTCCCAGATCTTCTCAACCTCCCTACCCACCCAACTTCATGTTTTCTCCTTTTCTCTTCCCACTTTCTGCCCCACCCATGGAGTTCAATTTTTGTTGGCCAACTACTCCTGGGTGTGGGGCATGCCCTGGTGTGTGGTGTATAGCAGGTGTTTTTCATTGAGGAAAACTGACTGTTCCTCTTCTGCAGGCAATCAAATGCCAACATATTGTCAGCTAGAGGTAGAATTTCATGCCTACCTTCTTTCCTCTCTGCTGGGATTTAATCTGTCTTGAGCCTGTGTAATTCTTTTACATGCTGTCACAGTCTCCATGAGCTCACATATACATTTGCTCTGTTGTGCCTTAAAACCATTATTTCTTTGAAGTCACCCACAACCTCTGGCTCTTATAATCTTTCTGAAACCTGTCTTCTGAGATGGTCCCTGAGCCATGAGTGGAGGTGTGTGATATAGACATGTCATTTAGGTCCAAGCCCTCTGCGATCTCTTATTCTCTGCTCATTGAACAGTTGTGGGCCTCTGAGTTAACTGCTGTTAACTTCAAGAAGCAGGCTCTCTGATAGGGGTCAATAATTGACCTATGGTTATATCAATAAGCCATTAGGAGTTGTTTTAATGCTCTGTTCACTTAGTTGGAAAATAGTAGTAGGTTTTCAGCTGGAGTTAATGACTAATGTAGCCACACATTTTGATCTCATTTACAGAGTCAGATATGGATTCCATTCTGTTCTGTGGGCCTTAATTCACTCAAAAAATTGGTAGGTTAATTCCAAACATTCATGTAACCATGACACCAGTGTACTTATCTTCACACAATTTCATAGCCTGGTGAGATTAATAATTATTATTCTCATTCAAGAGCAAGCATAGTGCCTCTAGTACTAGGAAAAGTAGCCTGTAGGAATGATGTTTCCAGGTTAGTATCAGCTATGTTTGTCCATATTCCATGACTCCGGTATGTGATATCTTTAGCAATAAAGTTTTACCACCAAGTTGTGGTGGGTAACCAATAGCATTGTCAATAGCTTCTAATTTGGGGCGAGTGGATTATGGGACACTAATGGTCAACAAATCAAAACAGGCAGCCCATTCTTGGTGCTGGGATTTTTATTTGGGGGCATGTGGTATCTAGTTGGAGTATTGTGCCTCTTCATTATTGGGTAACTACATTTACATATATATGGATATGTATATATTTTAGGGAGCTTCTGCAGTAGTTGGTTTCCATATGACATTTTTCTGCACAAGTCCTTTACTGTTATTCTCCCCATATTCTTTTCTCTACCCACTCTCTCATCTAAATAATAAAATGATTAATGGATGTATGTTTTATTTATGTGGAAGCCATACTGATCACAGGGCAGTCAATGGTGTGAAGAAAGCAGTGTTTAAAAGAACATGGGCAGATATTCTTTACAACTTTTGGTAAGAGTCATATATGTGGTTGTGTGTGTTTAGGTGTGTGTGGTGCCTTGTGTCTTGGTAAATAGTGATATCAAAACAGTTTTGGAGAAGAAAGCCAAGAAAGGGTGAATGAAGGAGAATGCACATATGGCAAATTAACCCTCATCTTCCCTGAACATTATCTGTTTCTGTTTCTAATGTCTCCTATATAATCCAATAGTATGCCTTTTCTTTCAAGTGTTAGGACTTTAGCCATCATTGGAAGCTGGTGATCCCTGGTGCAAGCCCGTAGTCACCAATTAGATAGATGATTAATTCAGTTTATTGGGCATACCTGTGTCTTTACTATTTGGGATTTGTACAGAAATAAACAAACACAAGAACTACACAGCCTGAGATTTTAGCCACCAGAACAAGGCTGTGGTTTACTGTAAGAAAACAGGGAAAACATGCTAATTTTTGGAAAATGAGTGATGTGTCTGAAGCTGTCTGTTCACAGAAGCTATGAAAGTCGACGAAGAAATGTCACCATCTGAGGGAAGAGGTAGTTTGAGAGAAAGAAATAAAACCTTCTCCTTCCTTTCTTGGAAGATTCTAGCTGGTTGTAAGTGATCCATAGATTTTTGGAATGTGTCTGCTGACCTTGATAAATGTAACTTCTATGGGGATTCTGTCAGAAATATGTGCTTCTATTTCATAATTTTGTCTCTCTTAGCTGAAGCCTTGAGGTACATCTTGTTCTAATCCTGCTCGGTTTCACCTTAGTATTACCCACGTCCCATTTTAGCTCAGTTTTCTTCAAAGTCATACAGCCATTAGTCAGTCAAAATACACTTACTTTTTGGTTTCTTACAGAGACACATGGAACTTGAATGGTTTTGACCTGAAAAGTAATTTCCCAGAGGTGAGAACTTTACCATAAATAGGAATCAAGAATATAAATGTGACCTGAGAACTTTGTTGAATTCCTGGGGCCTCTTACAAGAAGTGCCTTTTGCTTTGTATTGACTTGTTTCACAAAACGACTTTCATTTTTGTTTTTATCAGTAACCAAACTATCACCCCAGAGATCTGCTTTCTCTGTTGTGGAAACTGAAGGTCAGAGAGGGTGTCCGCCTGCATTTCTAAGCTCAGTGTCCCCTCCAATGCCTGCTCAGTAAGGTAATGGTGACAGGTGACAGGATTCCTGTTAGGTCAGGTGTTACATGTCATGAGCTTCCCAAATATTAGGAAGTCAAACAGCATTAAGAATTTGGGTTAAAAAAAAAAAGACTTTAGGGAAAACTTGATAGACAATACGTGTTTGTTCCGTCCACAGCTGGGTCATACGGGGAGCTAACTTCTGCCTGACTAGTGTTTTCTAACCTCTGGGTAGCATCTTCCCAAATCCACACCCTTCCTGGTCTCTGACAGCTGCCACTTTAAGCTTTAATCACTGCTTCTAGGACATTAGCTTTAGACTCCATGTAGAAAATGCTTATGGAGTATGTGTCTCTGTTCAAAGAGCGGTGTGGATGTTATCCTTGTTTATTGGGCCCCACTGTCAGTTTGTGTAGAGTAATCCATTGTCTTAGCATCAGCTTGGGTTGTTTGGGGATTCCCATGGGATCTCCTTGTCCAACAACTCAACTGAATACAACCCAATCCTGCCACTGGAAGCCTTGCCTGGCCATAAGAGGTTGCCAGGTGAAACTCTCTGTGCCCATTACTAGGGTCTTTACTAGGGACACCTGTGGGGCAATGTTATCCAGGCCACATATTTCTGCACTGTATTGCCAGCCAGGCTCTCAACCCACAGGTCTCACCTGAGGTGGTTACAAAACACTTAAAGAGCGGCTGTCTCCTGGGTCAGGGCATGCTAATGTTGTTCTGCTCCCTTCTTTGTAATTATGCAGTTCACTTGGGAAGAGGTGTTAATCCAAGCTAGTGACAGGGCTGTGGCTGTGACACTAATGAGCTTCCCCCTCAGTTTACCTTGGGGGATAAAAGCTATTTTAGAATAAACACAGGTGATCATTAGAATTGGAATGGACCATGAGACTCCCGATATTGCTGTGTGAACTGTGTCTCAATTATTCCCGTGCTTCCCTGGTGGTCCAGAAGATAATTTAAGTTGAGGTTGGACCCCAACAGTCACCCTCATAGAGTCCCAGGAGTTTCCTCTGCACTGGACTTCCACACCTCCCAAATGCCCCCAGGTTCCAACTGTCTTCCTGTACTCCCTCCCTCCATCCCATCTCCTGTGAATCTAATCCCTTACCCATAAAATCTCTCCTATTTCCCCTTCCCAGGGATATTCATGTGCCACACCTAAACTCCTTCTCTTTACCTAACCTCTCTGGATCTAGGAATTGTAGTTTGGTTATCATTTACTTAATTACTAATGTACATTTATAAGTGAATGCATACCATATTTGTCTTTCTGAGTCTGGGTTGCCTCGCTCAGGATGATGCTTCCTAGCTCTATCTATTTGACTACAAATTTCATAATGTCGTTTTTTAAAAACAGCTGAGTAACACACTATTATGTAAATGCATCACACTTTCTCTATCTCTTCTTCTCTTGAGGGACATCTAGGTTGTTTTCAGTTTCTGGCTATTATGAATAAAGCTACAACGAATATCTAGTTGAGTATCCTTGTGGTATGACGGAGCATCCTATGATTAGGATTTATGCCCCAGAGTGGTATAGCTGGGTCTTGGGTTGATTCCCAATTTTCTGAGGAACTGTCATATTGATTTTCATAGTGACTGTACAAGTATGCACTCCCATCAGCAAAGGAGGAGTATGGAGTGAGGGAGCAACATTGTCTTTTGTGAACACGAAAGCTTGTATCCATCACATTCATGCATACAAACAGACTGAGAATAACTGAGATGTATCAGACGTGAGCGATTTTTACATGGGGTCTAAAGCTAACGTCCTAGAAGCAGGAATTAAAGCTTAGAGTAGAGGCCATCAGAGACCGGAAAGGTTAGAGGTTTGGGAAGTTGTTACCCAGCGGTTACAAAACAGTAGTCAGGCAGAAGAAATCAGCTCAAAAGGGCTATTGTACTCTAGCAAAAAAATATTAGTTCTTGAAAATGACTAAGGTCATAGGTTATACATATATTTTATATATATAATTGTAAATTATATATATATATTTCCTACAAAAATATTGTCACCCATAAGCTAATTAGCTTGATCTAGCTATCAGTAATGTATATATACCAAAAAAATGTTGTGATACATTTTAATCAGTGAATTAAGACATATTAGGAGAGAAATAAGAATGATTTTATTCTCATTAGAAAACTAAGCAAGGATTCTATTTCAAAGTGATCTGGTGCTTAAATTATTACCCTTGCAACTCAATAAAGTCAGAGACCAGGCTTTGTATTTTCCCAAACAAGGAGAGTTTAGTTCTTTCAGACAAAGCATGATTAAATGAGCAAAGGAAAATCTTTTACAGAAAGCCGTGTCTTGTTCTTCAAACACTGAAACATGCAGAGCATTTGGGGGGTTTGTTTTTGCCTGAACTCAGCTAAGATAAAACACTCACCATTCACCAGAGGCCAAACAATATTTCATTAGTAATCTACAGTAGACGCACTGAGATCGGCCAGGAGCAGAATCTGAATGAAAGACTCAGGCTTTTATTTATTTATTTTTTTGTTGCTAAACCATGCAGAGCAAGGGACTTGAATGCCAGAATAGAGAATCTGGATTTGATTTTGTAATGAGGAGTTAGTGAAGGCTTTGTAGAGATGAGTTAGATTTTGGCTTTTTGTATAAACAGAAGATACAGGGAGATTATAAACATAAGAAGGCAGGGTTCAATCTGGAGCTACAGTATGAGATACAAGGATGAGAAACACTGAAGCCCTAAACTAAGACAGGAGAAGTGAGAGCAAGAGGGAGAAGTGGGTGTGAACGCAGCAGTGAGGACAAAGTGAATATTGATTTCATGTTGGCAATCGAGGGAAAGTGAACTGTGGAAGGTGCAAAAACACTTTCAGCCCAGGGACTTGGGAGGACGGTGTCCGCATGAAACACACTTAGTTAACTTCAAGATGAGTGCGGTCGACCTTCAGTGGTAAATAAGAGGCCTAAGTATGGGAATTGTCAATATTGGGGGTGGGTATTGAAAGTTATGGACACAGATGGCTTTACAAGGGGGAAATGATTGAAGTAGGAGGAAAATCCATAGACTATGTTGAGGATGGTGCCAGGAGACAGACGATTGTGGGGATGGGAGCAGAAGGGTTTCTACTGAGCAAAAATGAGCTTTGACACAGGAGGCTGTTGAAAAATTGAGTGCTATACAGGAAGATGGAGATGAGAAAAAGCCAATTAATGGATTTGTTGGCTCACAGATCAGGGCTGACCTTGAGAGAGCAGTT